TGTGAACCACGCTTTGATCGTGAAATGACCAGAATGGGCCAGAAGACACAGCAAAGTAATTTTGCTTCATGATAATGCTTCATCACACACTTCAAAACCAGTTAAAGACATATTAAAAGATCTTGCCTGGGAAGTATTAACCCACCTGCTGTATTCACCAGACCTTGCTCCTTCAGATTACCATTTGTTCAGATCGATGGCACATGCACTTTTTGAGCAGCAATTCAAAACATATGAAGAAGTGGAAAATTTGGTTTCTGAATGGTTTGCCTCAAAACAAGAAAAGTTCTATTGGAACGGTATCCACAAATTACCTGAAAGATGGGGAAATGTGTAGCTAGCGATGGACATTAGTTTGAATAAAGCACTTTTGATGTTTCTCTTGAAATTATGATGTTTTCTTTGATTACAGAATCCGCCATTATTAACCGGTACACCTAGTAATGGCAAGATGTAAATGCAATCACTTCCTGGTGGTAGAGAAACTGAAAACAGCATGAGCTCTGTTGAGGTCGGTTATGGGGGGAAGGCTGTCTCAGGCCTGCACAGGAATGTATCATTGTAGGACCATGGGCAAACAAGCTGGAGCCAGGCTGTGCTCTGGAAGTGGTTCCCAAAAGTCCTTCCATATGTGTTAACTTGCCCACTTTCCTGTGTTTTTTTAAAACATGCAGAGGCTCACCCCCAGTTGGAACTGAGAGAAGTGGGCACCCTAGTGGTAGCAGGCCAGAATCTTGGATCTATACTAAGTCCAGTCCCTTCTGATCATTAGCCTAGTGTGTGATACTAGCCTAGCCTAGTATCAAGTCAGTGATCAGCATCAGGCTTACTTCCACTGCATATCCCACGTGCCTTCAGCTAGAGCCAGATGGAGGCTGGGGCAAAGAGAACTGCCTTCCAGCTCGCCCTGCTGGTGAGGCCTAGAGCAGTGGTGGTGACACTGTGTTCCAAGCTTAGTGCAGAGTCAGGCCTTCTGCATCATGTTGAGAGATGGGCAGAGGCATGAGGAGAATGGACTAGCACTCTGCACGTGGAATTTTTCCAGCTAGAGAGGATGCCTCAGTGGATCCCATGGCCTGTGCTACCTTTCAGCCTCTTGTGGAGAAGCTAGTTGGGAAAATGAACTATTTAGAGGTGCCCGTGTTCTCTGACAAGATATTAGATTTAGAGGGACTATCAGGGAGCATGAGTAATGGCACCTTAATCAGGTACTGGATTGTCCCACAGGGGGATGTTTGAAACTACCTTTAGATATGTGTCAATTTTGTGGCACTTCAGCGAATGGTAGAGAACACAGATACCTATGCAAAAGGTATCACATATCTAGTGGGAAGAGATAGACCAATGAATAAAAATAAACTC